TGAACAGCGGGAGTCAAATCAATACAATATACGCGTGTACCTGTGGCTACACATAAAGAGGCAGGGATGAAACGCAACGTGAGAATGCGAAAGAGAGGAAGAAAGGGGGCATGAGAGAGAGAAGGTTGAGGGGGGGAAGGAGGAGGCAGTAAGGGAGGGAGGGGGAGTGGGACGGGAGGGAGGGAGGGGGGCGGGAGAGAGAGAGAGAGAGAGAGAGAGAGAGAGAGAGAGAGAGAGAGAGAGAGAGAGAGAGAGAGAGAGAGAGAGAGAGAGAGAGAGAGAGAGAGAAGAGAGAGAGAGAGAGAGAGAGAGAGAGAGAGCAGACAGAGACAGAGAGAGAGAAAGGGGGAACAAAGACAGTGAAAAGAACATATAAATAACTAAAACTGTTGTGCAAGGAGAAGGAGAAAGAAAATGTTTCCTCGCCAGCGCATGAGCCAAAAGTGAAGGCAGAAAAAGAAGAGGAAGAAGAAGAAGAAGGAGAAGAAGAGGAAGCAGAAAAAAACTATTAGCATTGCCCAGAGAACAAAATCGGAACACGAAGAAAAAATACACAAGTGAGCGAAGAGGAACAATAACAAGAAAAATAATAATGAAAATAAAACAAAACATAATGGGGTGAACGAACGAATAATCACAAAAACTAGAAAGAAAAAAAGAAAACTGGGGATGGGAAGTGCACGCTAGGAAAGAAAAACAAAAGAGAGATAAAAGAAGAGAGAGACACGCGCCTTATTTCCGGAGAGAGAGAGAGAGAGAGAGAGAGAGAGAGAGAGAGAGAGAGAGAGAGAGAGGAGAGAGAGAGAGAGAGAAGAGAGAGAGAGAGAGAGAGAGAGAGAGAGAGAGAGAGAGAGGGGGGGGGGGGGGTTGTGTGTGTGTCGACTCGAGAGGGTTAAGCTGAGGACGAGGAAGCAGCAGCTCCACTGAGGAAGGAAGAAGAAGGAGAGGGAAAGGATAAAATGGAGGGGGATAAGAGAGAGGAGGGGAGGAAGAAGGGGGAGAGGAGGGGAGGGAGAGGAGGGGAGAAAGAAGGGAGAAGGGGAGGCAGAGGAGGGGAGGAAGAATGGAAGAAGAGGAGGGGAGGAAGACGGGAATAGAAGGAGATAGGGAAGAGGGGTGGGAAGAAGTAGAGACGAGTGTGGAGAGAAGGAAAAATGCGAGGCAGAAGGGGAGAGAAGGCAGGGAGTGAGAGGTCAAGTCAGGTGCAAAAAGGGGAAGATGGGGGGGGGAGGGGAGAAGGAGAGCAAGAGAGGAAGGGAGGAAGGGAGGGAGAGAGAGAGAGATAGAAATAAGACCTCCCGGCATGTTTGGCATTCACAGGGAGAGGAAAGGGAAAGCAACACCTGAGACCGAGATAATGAAGGTTATTTAAAACTCAAACAGAGAATAAGGGCAGAAGCGAAAGGAGGAGGACAGACGGAGAGGAAGGCGACAGAGAAAAGGAGAATAAATCAACCGACGAAGGGAAACAAGGACAGGAGAGAAAGGAAAGAAAGGAGAGAAACAGATAGAAAAAAAAAACAGGGCGAAAGAATCGACCAACGCACGGACAAAAACAAACAAACAAACACACAGCCGATAACAACAACCACAGGACGCGATGAAAACGATGTCAAGTGGACTTCAGCCGCCGACGGTATGACGGCGATGTATGACGGTGATGCGCCATGACAAACCATTTGCTCTGAGTAATGAGTTTTGGAGAGCACGCAGGACGGAATACGGGTTTTTTTCCTTCGGTTTTTTTTTCTCAAAGAGGTACTCCTACTCCTACTCCTACTCCTACTCCATCTCCTCCTCCTCTCCTTCTTCTTCTCCTTCTTCTTCTCCTTCTTCTTTTTCTCCTTCTTTTTTCCTTCTTCTTTTTCTCTCTTCTTCTTCTCCTTCTCTTCTCCTCCTTCTTCTTCTCCTCCTTCTTCTTCTCCTCCTTCTTCTCCTTCTTCTCCTCCTTTTCCTTTTTCTCCCTTCTCCTCCTCCTCCTCCTACTAAAAGTAATGATAATGAAAAAACAGTAACGGTGATGATGATAATAATGATAAAAATAATAATAATAATAATAACAACAATAATAATAATAACAATAATAATAATAATAAAAGAAACAACAATAATAACAATATAATAATAATAATAATAATAATAATAATAATAATAAAAGAATAATGATAATGATCATATCAACGATCAACAACAATATTGACGATGATTCATCTTGCCGATACTCGCAATAAACAGAAGACGCAACCAGGGCAGGCTGCACAAAAGAGGCCAGAGGGGCACCAACAGGAGGAAAGAAAACATAAGAAAGTAAAAGACTCGATAAATGAGGAGATGGAACGGACGCCGAAATGACCCCCCCCCCCAAAAAAAAAAGCGAAAGATTTGTCTTATTTACCTATTTACTTGTCAATTTTCCATTCATGCATTTTCTAAAATTTTGACTCTCGCTCTTTCGAAGATCCTGAAGAAGTGAAAGTAAATATAAACCCGATACAACAGCGAATAAGGCCAATAACAATGCGAAATAAAACCGGAGAATGAGGAAGAGGTAAAGAACGAAGAACGAAGAAGATAGTAAGAGAAAAAAAAAAAAAACAAGGGAGGGAGGGAGGGAAAGCACACACACCCCAACCCGACACAGAACGCTCCCCCCACCCACCCACCTCCCCATCCGTCCACATACAGGATCGCCAAGTGCCCCCCTCCCCTCCCTTCACCCCCCACCTCGCCCCCCCCGCCGAAGGATATTGAGAGGCCGTTCAACAGGATATTAACACTTGATCACACACAAGACGAAGCCCGTTTCCCGGAGACGCGCCGCCACACTGGCTGGTGGCGGTAGGGGTAGGGGGTGAGGATGGCGGAGAAGGGTAGGGGGGTAGGGGGTGGGATGGCGGAGAGGGGTAGGGGGGTAAGGGGTGGGATGACAGAGAGGGGGGTGTGGGGGGATGGCGGAGGGGGTGTATGAGGAGTGTGTGGGATTGTATGAGGGGTGGAGGGCTAAGGATATGGGTATGACGATGAGTATGATATGAGGACTGGGAGTGTAGCGGTTGGGGGGGGAGAGGGAGAGGGAGAGGGAGAGGGAGAGGGAGAGGGAGAGAGAGAGAAAGAGAAGGAATAAACCAAGACATGATTAAAACGTGTCCAAAGACTATGTGGACTCCATATGTGTGTGTGTGTGTTGTGTGTGTGTGTGTGTTGTGTGTGTGTGTGTGTGTGTGTGTGTGTGTGTGTGTGTGTGTGTGTGTGTGGTGTGTGTGTGTGTGTGTGTGTGTGTGTGTGTGTGTGTGTGTGTGTGTGTGTTGTGTGTGTGTGTGTGTGTGTGTGTGTGTGTGTGTGTGTGTGTGTGTGTGTGTGTGTGTGTGTGTGTGTGTGTGTGTGTGTGTGTGTGTGTGTGTGTGTGTGTGTGTGTGTGTGTGCGTGCGTGTGTGTGTGTGTGTGTGTGTGTGGTGTGTGGTGTGTGTGTGTGTGTGTGTGTGTGTGTGTGTATGTGTGTGTGTGTGTGTGTTAGAAAGGAGTCGCACGCGCGCGATACTTACACTCGCCCGCGCGCGCGCCTCAGCGTCCCAAAAATAGATGACATAATGCAGGAGTCAGCGGCGCTCGCGGGGGCGGTCGCTGATCATCCCGCGACGATCGTTCGCTTCATTTGGACTTGGATTGCACGCCCGTGTACGTATAAGTATAAATGTAAGTGTGTTTTTTCCGTGCACGCGTGTAAAAAAAAAAAAAAATAAATAAAAAAAATAAAAAAAAATAAATAAAATATATATATATATATATATATATATATTATATATATAAATATATATATATATATATATGTATGTATGTATGTAATATATATATATATAAAACAAATATTCCCATAATATCTACACGTAATAAAACTGGCGTTAAGTTTAGGTAAACTATTTCCTCCATTCTCAAACATTTTCACCATCCACTCATTTCCGTATTCATTCATTAACTTTGTCGCGCAATTATTCGAGAGCGCGTCCGCACGTGTCTCGTTCGCGCACGCGCGGTCCGCCCTGCAACCCCCACCCCCACCCCCACCCACCCCCACCCCCCCACCCCCCACTCCTCTCCCTCTCCCTCGCCCTCAACCCCTCACTTTCAATAATAAACGCCACTCGAACGCCCTCAACAACTCGTCACCGGATCGTTTATTTCCCATCAGTCATCCCCATTAAAACCAGGACAAAAAAGGCGGGGAAACGAGGACGACCCCGACGACCCGACGACGACGACGACGACGACGACGACGACGACGACGAGGGCGAAAGACCCTTCGCAGCAGCAGCAGCACCGGAGCTGGCGCCAGGGAGGAGGAGCTTTGACGAACGCGACAAAATCTTTCGAGATGACACACAGGAAATTATCCACAGTTGCCCCCGCGGCTTGCCAAGCCCGCCGCGACGCTCGCCACGCGCACAAACAGCCCCTTCCTCGCACTATCTCCTCTCCTCTCTCCTCTCTCCTCTCTCACACACCCATGCACACGCGCGGACATACACACACACACACACGATCAAAAGGAGAAGCAAAGAGACAAGAGATAAATAGATAAAGAGGAGAGGTAGAGAGAAAGAGGTAGAGAGAGAGAGGTAGAGCGAGAGAGGTAGAGGTAGAGAGAGAAGGTAGAGAGAAGAAAGGTAGAGAGAGAGAGTAGAGAGAGAGAGGTAGAGAGAGAAAGAGGTAGAGAGAGAGAGAGAGAGAGAGAGAGAGAGAGAGAGAGAGAGAAGAGAGAGAGGAGAGAGAGAGAGAGAAGAGAGAGAGAGAGAGAGAGAGAGAGAGAGAGAGAGAGAGAGAGAGGGGGGGGGGATTAGTCAGGCGGACTAGTCCGGAAGAGCATGAGGAAGAGGAGAAAATGATAAGACATAATAGAAAGACGAAGGGGCGAAAGGGGCAGCGTGGGCAAGACGAAAGAGATACAGATAAGAAACGGATAACGATGGAAAAAAGGAAGAACAAGGGTAACGATGCCGATGAAACGTGCAAACAAGAATAATGATGACAAAGAAGAGAATAATGCAAATACAGCAAGAGCGCAACAGTTTAGCATCGCAGTGGGGTGGGTACGAAGAGAGGAAGAGGGGGAGGAGGAAGAGGGGAAAAGAGAGAAGGGAAAGGAGGGAGACGGGGAGGTGAGGGAGAATGAGGGAGACGGGAGGTGAGGGAGAATGGGGGAGACGGGGAGAGGAGGGAGGAGGGAGCCGGGGGGCTGGAGGAGGGGATGGAGTGTGTGTGTGTGGAAGGCACAAGGAAGAGAGGGAAAGGGAAGGCGCAGAGGAGACAGGAAGCAGGAGGACGGGAAGGAGAGGGAGAAAGAGAGAGGGGAAGGAGGAAAAGCGAGGCAGGAGAAAAGAGGGAGGGAGGGGAAAGGGGGTGGGGGTGGGGGGGTCAAAGCGACGGTAACGGGAGGTGTGGGTAAGGTGTTGAGGAGTTCTGTATAAATACCCACATCCACCCTGGGCGAGTTTCTGGCACCAAGCCCCAACACACACACACTCGCGCACACACACACACACACACACACATGCGCACGCAGTCGTCCCTGTGTCTCCAGCCATTCACATTACGGACGACACGCACACACACACCACACAACACTGAGTCGATCTTATTCAAGTCATCATACTTTTCATACTCAACGGGTGGGGTGGGGTGGGGGGGTGGGTGGGGATCTTTCATTTCCGTTGTCTGCGAGTTAATACCCCCCCCCCCACCACCACCACCACTTTTGTAATACCCCGTTATATGTGCAAACATAGATGCATGATACACAATAATACATAAAGAATACGCTGAACACACACACACACACACACACACACACACACACACCACACACACACACACACACACACACACACAACACACACACACACACACACACACACACACACTAACGGGCCCGCATGCCACCCCCCCCCTCTTCCCTCTTCCCCTGGACGCACACGGGTCGGTGGGGAATGCCAACTCCCGTGCTATCTATGGTGCCACGAGAGATTTTACACATTTTTGGCTACACTGCCACCCCATGTCTACACTCACCGGGATGGGCCATACACTACGCTTTAAGGAGCCGCGAAACGCAACAAACAATTAAAAGCAGGTGTTTGTTTTTCCTATCTATTTTACCTTTATTACTACTAATAATAATAACAATAATAATAATAATAGTAATAATAACAATAAAATTATCATTATTGCCATTACTATCATCATCATCAATACTCCAGTTATGATCAACAAACAATCAAAAGCAGGTGTTCTTTTTTCTATCTATCCTACCTTTAATAATAATAATGATGATAGTAAGAGTAAATTATTAATAAAGCTATTAATAAAACTATTATCATTATCGCCATTATTATCATCATCATCCATACTGTTCTAGTTCTAATCACTCATTTCTAAATTATTTCCTTTTCCTTTTTTCCTCCTCTTCACATTACCATCAACAACATTCTCGTTATCTTCACTATCCACCAACATTTCTTTCCTTCCTCTTCTTTTCTCGTGGCTTCGAACAAAACTTAAATCTCCAATCAATTCTTGTCTTTTTTCTTCTTCTTCTTCTTCTTATCACGCATTGCCGGAGTCCCCAGTTTCTTGGCTTGAAAGCAGGCAACCCAAGAGGGGGGGTGGGGGGGAGGGGAGAGGAGAGGGTGACTCAAGGCACACTTCCGAATCAACACGGCACCCAGTCACCACTTAGCCCCTAGTGACTACCTACA